CCCCGAGGCTCACAACACAAAATAAAATACAATAAAATACAAAAATAACAATATAAAATTAACAATATAAAATAAATAACAATATAAAAGAAGTCGCCCTGGCCAGATAAATAAGCAAATATTGTTAACAATTAAAATGACACTTAAATAAAAAGGTCTTCGCCTGGCGCCGAAAAACAAATAACGACGGCGCCAGGCGGACCTCTCCGGGGAGCGCATTCCATAGATTGGGCGCCACCGCAGAGCAAGCCCTCCTCCGAGTACCTACCCTCCTAATTTCTTTCATGGAGGGTTCCCGGAGAAGGGCCTCTCCCGCAGATCTCAAGGGGCGGGCGGGCATATATGGATGTAAGCGCTCCTTCAGGTAACCAGAGCAAAAGGAAAGGGAAATGAGAAACAGACATTGTATCTCAGGAGCTTATTTCATTTATGTACCCCCTAAAGGACAGGGCAAATAGTTTGGGTGTTCTCCTAGGTTCTAAATAGTCATTGGAGTCACAGGTGGACTTGTTGACTAGGAGCACATTTAACAGCTCAGGCTGATTTACCAACTATGACCTTATCCCTATCGTTTAACATAGGCAAAGCCTAGCAATAGTGATCCATGCTCTAGTAACCTCTTGTTTGGACTAGTGTGAATTGCTCTATGTAGGGATGCCTTTGAAAATGGTCCAGAGACTTCAACTGGATCAAGACAGAGCAGCTAGGCTGCTAAGGGGGACTGGCCCACATGAACCCATTGCACTAGCCTTCTATCAATTACATTGGTTACAGATTGATATCTGGGCCCAATTCAAAGCATGGGCATTATCATTTAAAGCCCTAAAAGGTTTGCGGCCAGGTTATCTGAAGGAAGGCTTCCTTCCGCATGTGCCCACCCAAACCTTAAGATGATCAGTAGAGGTCCTTCTCAGGCAGTCCCCTCCAAAGGAAGCGAGGAGAGTGCCTACTAGGGGAAAGGCCTTCTTGGTTGTAGTGCCCCATTTGTGGAATCAGCTCCACAAAGAGATACTCCTGTTGCCCACTCTACTCCTTTCAGTGTCAGGTGAAAACCTTTTTATTCTCCCAATATTTTAATAATTAGATCTTTATCTTCATCTTTTAATATGTACCTCTGAGATTGTTTTAGTTGTCTAATATTGTATTTATTAATTGTATTGTTGCGATTTCATCATGTGCTTTATATTAATTATTGTAATTCTGCTTTGTAAACCATCCAGGGAGACTTTGTACTGATAGGAAGGGTAGAAAGATAATAAATAAACAAACTTTTCTCCCTCCAGGGAGCTGAGAATGGTGTATACCTCTCTCCTCCAGGTTATCCTCCTAATAAACCCATCAGGTAGTTTTAGTCTGAAGGCTGGGACTGGCTCAAGATTACCCCATGAGTTTCATGGATGTGTGAGGATATGAACCTGAGTATCTCTAGACCTAGTTCAATATAATAATGCAGATCTCCTCAACTCGGTGCCTTCTGAGTTTGTTTAGCTACAACTCCCAGCATCCCCAGCCAGCTACATCATGCTGTCTCTCATGACTGAGAACATGTGTAAGAGGACACAAGAATTAATGAGAAAAACTTTTAAAAGAAGTGCCCATCTCTCTCAGTTTCTACCCCTCTCTCTGATTTTTTCACAAGCCAAAAAGAGGTCCCAATTTACCACATCTGTGTTTATTTGTTTGCATCCCCCCAGTATTACACCTCAAGTCAACACAAACATTTTCAGATAGGCACATGTTGTTTCCACTTAGGGCAACCTTACTCCCTTCCTTTTCTTTTACCAAAGAAATTAAGAAAGCCCATAAGGCAGCTAAACACCTTCCTTAATGAACCAAGCAGCCATGAGAGTAAATTAAAGCCTGTCCCAGCCACACATTTTTAATGTAATCAAAACCAACAGAATTTTTGGCCCTTATCATTTGTATCAGTTCTCTATTTCTTTGCTATTTATGTGGAATTAAAGAATGCAGTCCTAATCACGCTTACTGGGGCAATTTAATGGAACCTTTTCTCCAGTGATGTGACAGAACCTCATCCTGTTCAGTTTTCTGGTCTCCAAGTATATGATGGACCAATGAAAGGCAATTTTCTAGGCACACTTTTGCCCAGTCATTGACTTCTGACCGATCCTATCTCACAGTTGTTGCAAGGATGAAGTAGAGAGTAGGTACATTATGTAAGCTACCTTGGGCTGCTTGTTGGGAAAAAGGGACAGGAAATAAACAAGCCATGTATTAAGCTCTTGTTTTACAGCTAAAGTATACCCAGTAGATCTCCATGGGGGGTGGGAGGCACTTTCAGAGAACAGAGCAGAACCTAGAAGTGATGAATTTTCAGAAGGTACTTCTTGGCCACAAGAATCAGTTCCAAATACAAGAACACAGTCAAAAGTTGTACTTACCTTTCTCGGTGTACCTTCAAGGTAGATGAATGTCTTGCTCTTGGGGAGCATGATGTTAGGAAGTAGATAACAATGCAAGAAATCTTGCAGCTTCAGGACAAGGACAAGCCAGAAGGCAAATAAAGATCGTTCACGACGATAAATGATTTTGCAATCACACTCCCCTGCCCCTTTTTCTGGCAAAGAAGCAACTTAGGTGAAACAGCTGTACTAGCTACCCACTTCCTCAAAAGTTTGCATTTGAAACGTGTGGTGGTTAAAGCAGTAACATCTTTGTCCTCAAAGCTCTGAACCTACCAGACTAATGTAGCTGTGCATGCAAATTTTTCTCAAGTTAGTGCATTTGTGTTTGGTCTATAGCACTTCAGGATACTCCCTCATACGAGTAAAATTTTAAAACTCCTTACCTCACAGGAAATAGATAGACAAGAACTCTTATCCCTGATCATTATTGTTTTTGTCAGACTCTGAGGCATAGGCAAAAAGATAAACCGGGACCGAGGCAATACAGGTAAGATGGTAGAAACCCAAACAGCAGTCCAGTAACCAGATCAAGTAACAATTCCAAAGTCAGAGCTGATGGTAAGCAATAAGCATGGCAAAGTACAGTCCATTAGACAGGAGCGTAGCCAAGAAGTCAGAAACCAATTAGTTAAAACAACCAGGAGCAAGTACCTTGGAACAGGAACCAGGAACAGGAAAAGGTCCAGGAAGCAGGAAGGCAAGGTCCATGGACAGAGCAGGGATTCAAGCAGCAACCAAGAGAACAGCAAGCCAAGAGACATTCCTTGCTGAGAAAAAGATGGGAGGGAAGAACCTGCTCTTATAGCTCTTTTCCCAGGTCTCCCAGCTGCTCCAGTGAAGTGGGACCCCAGTCCTGCAGTCACTGCTGCAGCTATTCAGCCACAGAATTGGCCGCATTTCTGCACTTACTACTGCGGAGTGGTTCTGATCCTGCTGGTTTTGTGCATAGGAGTATTGAGTGAAGTGAGCACCCTTGTGCATTAAAAGGTTGTACTGCTTAGACATGGTTTGCCACGTTAATGAGAACTTTGCTGTGGAGATGTATACTTGAAGAGGGATGTGCAGAAGGTAGATCTTTAGATGCTTTGTACTACAACTCCCAGGAATCCATGTCAGCTGGGAAGGATAGGTAGGTGCCACTTCCAGTACTGTCACAACTTGTAGAAATGCATTTAGGCAACAAGCCAATACTGTTCCCTTCAGATGCACACAAGCCTTTGAGCTAAGAAGCTTATATGCATCCGATGCTTTGAAATTGCCTTGCAGCCATTTTAGCCATCTGGAGGAAGCACCACAGGAAGGCAGGGAAGGAGGCTAAGCCTAACCCTCCAAAGTGCCCACTATCACTTTTTATAAACAAAGATCTTGTAAAAGGTGATAGTTTTTTTATAGGAATTTTGCTTTCCCTTTACAGCTTACCTTTTGACAATTGTCAGAAGAAGCAAAGTGATGCCCCCCCCCCCATGCCAATTGGAGTCTTGAATGGGTCCATGTCCAGGGTCGACAGCCCTTGCACTTTGACAACAGCTACTATAGGACATTGCTGGGGCAAGTGTTCTCATTTTCACAACTGCAGAACTGTGCCCTTGCATGGTTGCACAAGTCCAGCCAAAAAAAGTTTATACGCTGCAAAAAAGGGTTGGCCAACCAGTGACAAGCCTGCCAATGTGCTACTTTGGAGGGATTTTAACTGGCTTCCATTATCCTTTCCTATTACCAACAATGGAGTTGGTCACCTGGGTTCAGGTGACATGACAGCCCATTAGTTGTGAGCCGCCCCGAGGCTTTTTGCGAATGGGGCGGCATAAAAATGTTCTAAATAAATAAATTAGTGGTAAAATAACCTCTAAAACAGCCAATGAGTTCTTCAGGTGGTTTTTTGGAAAACACCAGGCACCCTGTGGGAAAAAGGTTCAAACAACACAACCCACCATAGCTAGCCACCCTTAATGGGTTGTCATATCATATGAACCAACCCTATATTCTATCTTGGTATACATCAAGGGTGGCCAGACTTGCTCAATGGAAGAGCGACATATGGTAAATATCAGATGTTTGCGAGTGGCAAGCGGGCACCCATGGCTGGCGGCCATGGGTGGCAAGTGGGTGCCTACAGGCGATGGCTGTGGGCAGCGAGCAGCAAATGGGCACCACAAAATGAACTGAAAGATCCACATGTGCTTCCCAAGCCCTGATATGGCCACCACTTGTATAAGTGATACACAACAGAAAAAAGCAAGTTGTTTCCTGCCTTTCTTTAATACATTTATATAAACCTCTGAATTCTGGCATTTTGCATCCTTTGGTTAATACGTCATAAGTCTTACCCACAACCCTTCTGAATTTAACTCTGAATCGATGCAACCTGTTCGCACTTGTGGGTGGGAAGCATTAGTTTCCTGATTTTTCTGGCTTTGCCTTGTCTTTGACATTGTTGGTAGCCGAAACACCTCCCACCGGAGGCCAGGAAGCACTAAACTCCAACCAGCTAGAATGTTCTTTCCTCTTGGGGACTATGCTTAGCAAGATTTTATTTCCCTCCTTACCCATAGGTCTTGGGGGAAGGGGCCATCAGTGAGCAAACACAACTTTAAGTTTCAGTTCACTTTGAAATGAAACTTACTTGGGGAGAGATTCATAAGCACGGGCAACTTCCTTTACATGCAGTAATCATCCAGGTGTGACTTGTTACACATAAGCCTATAAAAAATATTTCCTAAATAAGAACAAAGGCTCAGTTTCAAAAGAGTTGTAGGGCAGCCTTCCCTAGCCTAGCAGCCTCCAGATGTTTTAATGATGCTTAACACCAACATCAACACCAGCCAGATGAACCCTGAGAGTTTAAGTCGGGAGGGCAACAGGCTGAGAAAGGCTAGTCCAGGGGTGCAGTGAATTCCTCCTAGACCAAAAAAAAAAAAAAAAAAAAGGCCTATGTTTTCAGTATTCCTCCTTGCTGGCTGCAGCATGGTGGACTTTTTTCTGTCTAACTATGCATAGGATTGGGCCTAAGAAACCAAAATTTGTTCTGAGGGTTGGGGGGAATGTTTACAATACGTGCCACCTGGATAGACACAGCTAATTGGGTCAAAAGGGAACCAGAGCACATTTGAAGACCAAATGGGGCCAATGACCATGAAGAAGCAGATTTTAATCTGCCAATAATGGCGAGCCATTCTGATGTAGCCCCAGACAAATCAGGAGCCTAAACATGTTTGTTCTTCTACACTTCTCTTTATTATTGTCACTTCTCCTGTATGTCCCAGGAGATGTTTCCTGTGAGAACCTCTGTCCATTGTCACTTTCAGTGCATGCATTTCCTTCAAGTAGATTCTTAGAAAGAATGGCCCACTTTCCTTGCTCATTTTATTGTGAAGGCTAGCAGGATATAGAACAAGGTGTATTCAACAGTTGCTTCAGAGTAACTGCCCTCACTGCCTGCTAATGGGAGCACACAGTGTGGGGAACTGGGCTGTTAGGGTTACTGGGCAAGCCAACTATTATGATTGCAGGGCCAGGAAATGAACCTGCCCAGATGTTGCTGCCAGCACATGACCATGGCTATGGTTGATGTGATACATTTTGCATGGTGGGTGGGCAGGAAAATCTGTGGGCATGAAAATGATTTCTGGACAAGGAGCTGAATAATCCAATGTGATTAAGCATCATTAAAGGGCTCGTTTTTTTCCAGCTTACATGCAGCTTGTATGCTTGATTTAATAACCTCGTGCACTATCCATAATGCAAATTCAGCAAACATGTTTAGAGTCTCTCTTTATCTAATCTCCATCTTCATCCTTATTTGCTTGTTGGGAAAGAGGAAGTCATGAACAGTCCTGAACAGTCTGCAGCGAAAGACCTCTGTGCATTAGGAGGTGAATGCAGAGCAGCATGGAACAGCTAGCTAAGTGACACATGTCCATTTTTGCAAGAAGACATGCTGATAGTTAAGGGCTACTTCGTATCTTTTAAATCCACATATACTAAATGGAAACAAGCAGCATCGGGAACCGCCTGCTTTATGGACAATATGAGATGTGAACACATGTACACCCCGTTAGCAGAAGTCAGGAGGATCATGCACAAATACACACCCATATCCAAAGTGTGTAAGCTGATGGGTCACTGGACTCAACAGGCATATGGAACTGCCCAAACTAAAATTAGCCCATTTTCCCTCTCTCAAGGCAGGATGTGAATATACACTTTCAAAGAAAAGTTAAAACAGATGTTTAGACTGAATTAAATTTCAAAATAGGAATAAGAAAGTAACACTCGTAAGTCATCGCCCTGCCCCCCCCAAAAACCCTCAGAAACTCCAAAAATTAAATCTGGTCATGAAAATTTCCCAGTACACTCATTCAACAACTAGTTTTCAGATACTCGGAGACTGTGAAAACTACTTTCATGCTTGGAAATATTTGCAGAGATAGGAAGATTTGTGTGGCTTGCATAGTCCACTTGGATAGCAGTTTATAAATAAATAGAATTTAAGATATACAAAACAAAGTTCACGGGTAAGAGTTCACAGGTTCCAAAACGTAATTCCTTTCCAATGTCAAATGCCTTCTGTGACCTGAGCTACCATAACTGTTAGGTTCATATTAACTGATAAACCTACCATAGAATTATTTTCTCTTCTTGCATAAGAGAACAAAGCAAAGCACCACAACCAGTCTGTAAAGATAATGCTGTTTTAAGGTTTATTGAGAAACTTTAAAACAATAATAAGCATCTTTCCTGATGTCATTTTAAATGGAAACCTGATATATAGCTTATCTTAATGGAAAGTTTTCAGTTGGTCTGGCTTTGGCAGTATGGTGGTTAAAAAGGCAGACTGAAGAAACAACACAAAGATTAAGGAATACTTTACCAAAAGTATTTCTTTTGGAATGCTGAATGACAAATATTACTACGACTATGAATTTAAAGCATATGAGTTTTTGTAAGCAGATATTTAGACTGAAAATGCTTTTTGGTTTAAATAGTATGTTCTTTAAAGGTTTTCTCTTATTGTATACACTAATAGTCATACAGTTGATGATGAATATCTGTACATGAAAATTCCATGCAGATTTTAATCTCTGTAGGTTTTGATTATGAAATGAGTACTAAATGTTTAAAATAGTTTTGAAGTGCTATCCTGTATGCAACTTACATCTAAAATCACCTTGTTGCCAGCAATTTCATTTACGTGGATTTCACTTTCTTTTGTGAAAATACCAGGTTAGGCAGCTGTCTTGTCAAATATTGAACAATTTGTTTTTAAAAATTGTTGACTATTCAAAATAGATTCAAAAATATAAAGATTGCATCAGTTCTCCTCCAGATGGAGTTGATAAGAATACAAATGGTCCTGAGGAAATTTTGGTTTAAAAAAAGGGAAGTTGGAACTTTATACCAGGAAAATGCAGCAAGAGGTTTTGGGGGCTTCTGGGTAAAAAGCTCAGGGTAGAATAGAAGAAAAGACCATGTTAATATCTTTTAATAACCAAACTTTTCTAATGAATAGGCACCATTAAGAAATAGAGTAAAATATTATGAAGGTTTAAGATCAGTTCCTTCTATAACACGTGCTTAAGCAGAAAATAATGTAGATGTATAGGGAGACATCCTGTGCTACCTTCACAGTCCTGAGGCTGCTGTGGCATGCTTGCCCATGTGGCTCGGGCAGTGTCGGAAGCCGAAGGCCCATGGAAGGTCTGCACACCCATGGAAGGTCTGCACACCACACAACTCTGCACACCCATGTTGCCCAGGTTCCTTAGTGGTGAAGAGAGGAGCTGTCCCAGCATGGCTCCAAGCAATGAAAGACAGTGTGGCCTGGTGGTTAGAGTAGTGGACTGGGATATGTAAGATCTGGGTTCTTGTCCCCACTCAGCCAAGTCCCCACTCACTCAGTTAACTGGGTGACTTCAGGCCAGGCACTGCCTCTCAGCCTGGCTTAACTCATGGAGTTGCTCCTGTGAGGATAAAATGGAGAGGAGGAGAACCCTATATGCCATGCTAGGCTCCTTGCAAGAGGAAGGAAGACAGGGCATTAATGTAATGTGAACAGATGCCCTAGATGTAAAGCAAACAGAATGAATATTTTAATCTGACAAGACTAAAACTGGGACTTGCAAAGCAGGTGTTATAGATATTAAGGAAGCATAAACTGTCATGCAGTTTAACTCAGGTGGCATGCAACAAATACTACTAGTATGGGGCGGGGTTGAGGGAGGGGAATATGAAAGAATTGCATATGCTTAATCCTAAGAAAACTAAGGTACAAACCTGTGTTATGTTTAGACAGGAAAAGTTATATAACTACCAGTATTCCCCAACCACTGTGGCTGGCTGGGAAACACTGCAAGTTGCAGGACTTTCTATTCTGTCTAATATGCAAGGTTGTGCCTTAAGTCACTTACAAAACACAAATGATTCTACATTTAGCTGAGCCACAGTTTCAGACATTTCAGCCATAATCCAGGCCTCTGTGAAGCACTTTGTGGTGGATCCCAGGTTCTGGATACTTAGAACAAGCATTTGCGGTGCATGCTCCTTGGATGAAAGAAGGCAGTTTATTCCAGGGTAACTTACAGGAGGGGTAAAAAAATTCACCCCACCACAAAACATCTTTTAGCTTAATGGAGACACTGATTTCTTCGAAGGAGACACAACATTTATCTAACTCTTTAAATAAATGTGAATGTAAGTGAATGTAAAGTTCTGTTCTAAATGAGACTCCTTCATTCTTGGCAAGTTATGTACAAACCCTTAGCTAACTCTGGCCTTGGAAAAATATTATTGCCTCATAATTTTTCATATAATATTCGCTCATCTTAACAACTCACTGGCAAATATTATAGTTTCTGTTTTACAGACCAAAAAGAATTTATAAAAAGTTGCATCTAAAAAAATTACATTGTCCATTTTAGCTACGGTCCATGGTAGAATAAGAAATGTGCATATCGCCAATCTGCAGTTTTTATAGACATTCATTATTTTACAATTGGGTGGGCATTGTTTGGTGTAATGTGGAACACAGCACTTCAAAACTGATCTGAAGTTATAACGGGACATGGCTGAACAGGTAGGACACTGATTCCCCATTGTGTGTTCTTCGGATTGCCTCGGCCAGAATCATAGAAATATCTATAACCTAGAAGACATGAAAAGGCAGTAGTTTATTAACCATGCATACCAAGGTATGTCTTGTTCAAAACTTTTGTTGCGCAAGAGGCTGAGCAAGCTGTTCTAGAAAATCTTGTAGCCATGCAAAACCCTTTTAACTTTCATGTGTCTCATGCAGGGAGGTGTGAAAGAGCCATTCTGGGAGACACCTTTCCATCCAATCCATTCTTAAAGAGGATAAACTGTCTAAAATGGTTGGAGGCCAAAACAGGGCATTCATGCACTGATCTAGTTCTAACCACAAGGTGGCATTGAAAATCTATTTTCCAAATGCTATCTCCCAAGTCCTATTATTTCACTGCCCTATGCTAATTTTGTATAGTAATTTACCACCTCTTCCTTTAAGTGTTCAAGCATCTGGTTAGCAGAAACCTCTGTCTAGATCCCTAGCATATTTACTATCCCCCTTTGCTTTCTATTCATCATCATCATCATCATCATCATCAATAAAAAGCAAGTTTTATAGCTAAAGGACAAGGACAAGAGAGAATACAACTGCACAATATTATCCAGGCAATATTTCTCAGATAAGGTATTGTACTAGCTTCTTCATTCTGCAGCTGTGCCAGCCACAAGCACCAATATAGGTTTTCTGGAAATGTTGAATTAGGGCATTTCCCAGAATCACCCTGCTTCCTTAATTCATGGTTTGTTGCCTAGCCAAAGTTTGACTGGCAAAAACTGAACAAAGTATGGGCTGGTTTTTCAAGCTGTGAATTGTTTGCCCTCCTCTTTTGCCCACACTGTCCCTGCATCCTAAATGCCACTGTGGTGCTTCAGTAAGGCATGAAGATTTACTGAGGTTTTATTTTACACCCTTGTGTGCCCACTCTGTAGTCTGGAGAAACAACCTAGAGTTCACCAGCAAAAATGCATCATGGGCTCTTCTAGGTCGTCTGCTTTAACAAACTATGGTTTGTTACCTTGGCTACATTCACCCAGAACAACAATCCAGGATTAAACAACACATACTATGGGTTAGCATTCTGTGCAAACCAGACCATTCTCTTTCCTGTACTACTTTAAGATACCACTATGGTACAACAAGCATATGTAACAGAATTTCTCCAAAATTCACTTATTCCTTCAGTCAGCAAAACCCCAATACACTGAAATTCCAATACAAAGCACATCAAGCACATAAGAGAGTACAATACCTGAATCTTGGGACAATGTTTCATTTTTTCTTCCTGTGGGATTGTGTTAGTTACAACGACTGCTTCAAATGCAGCATTATTGATCCGAGAAATAGCTGGGCCAGAGAAGATCCCATGAGTGAGAATGGCATAAACTTTGGTTGCTCCTGCAGTCACTAGCCTATAAAATACACGACAGAGAGAAAGATCGGCAGAGTGTGAGATAGCAAAAAGGATTGCATCCAAGCTACTATCAGAACAGCATGTCAGGATAATAAAAAGGGTGTCCAGGGGCTTCAGCAGATAACTAGCCTTCCAGCCACTCAGATGGAATAGTTTGGAGGTCCACACATCCTTTGGAGTTCCTAAAGGCAGGCTAGATGAAGTTTCCCATGCATCTGTTTCATGCCATGTATACTCAAGCAAACAGCATTAATGAAGCAGTTCAGAAATGAAAACCTTACAGATGCATTTTTTGCTGCTTTCTATAATGGAGCCAATAGAATGCAATTGAGACACTTGCTTTAACGAAAGCCATTTCCACATTGGCCATTTCAAGGCTCATGTGCTGAATCATAATGTAAGAGGAGTCTTCAAAAAGTTTCCACACTTTTGTATTTTATAAATATATTGTACATATGTTACTGATGGCATTAACAAGTTGGTATGACGCTGGGAAAAATGCATCGCAAAAGAAGATGACTATGTAGAAAAGTGATGTAATTTATTTTTGAAATTCTTAATAAGTAGAGTTTTAAAAAGTGTAGAAACTTTTTGAAAAACCCTCATACAATGAGCCTTCACAGCTGTAAAGTGAAGCAGATAAAATGGCAAACAGACAAGATTTAATTTTGAAGCAAACCTGTGCTCCCTCCCACAAAAAAGAGTGAGTACCTTACAGATACACACGTTCCTAGGTGAAGTTTTGTGCTTGAAGGACTGCTTCAATTGCCCTAAACTAAAATGCAGCCCATTTCCCTATATGAGGAATCTCTGCTACCTGATTTGCCTTGTTTGGGTCATCATACCCACCCCATCAAAAACATATGACTGCTTTACTCACTTGTCTGCTGCATGGCATATTGTGCCACAGGTGTCTGCCATATCGTCCACCAGAATTGCAACACGACCAGTCACATCTCCAACCAAGACCATCCGATCCACCTCATTGGCTTTCTTCCTTTCTTTGTGAATCAGAGCAAAGTCAACGTTCAGTCTGTCAGCAATTGAAGTGACCCTATATAATAAAGAAACAAGAAGATAATAAGCCTTTCAAACAAGCAACTTGCATGATATTTTATACAGAATTAGTAATTAGATTAAACAATAGTGGAGATAAGTCAAAGGCCTTATTTTACTTTTCATAGGACTTGAAATTCAATGCTGGCCACCCACACTATTAAAAAAGGTTTTTAAAAACATGAGTCCGAATTTTTGTAAACTCTTGATCAGCATCTAAATGTAGCTGTACTTGATTATATTGGCCATTTTGATTTGCTATAATCTTGTAACTTTCCAGCACACGAATCATATGGTGAGCAGCTCTCACCTGTCAATCTGCTGCTGTTTGGATGCTTTTCCAGCAGCTATAGCATTTAAAGCAGAGCTTGAGGATGGTGACAACCAAATCCAGCACCTGCATAACCAGACTCCATGTACAACTGGAAACGCACAATCTCACATCAGCACCAGATCTCTTCTAGGACTGCTAGGCATAACCACGTGATCCAGCCAAGCCCTGCGACAAGCCTGTGGAAGGTTACTGTGTGACAGGGCCCCTGACTACAAAGTTATCTGCAGTTATCGTTGTATTCTGGTAATGTATAAATTGGGCATATATTCCAGTCACACTATCAACTGAAGTATTCGTATCTGAATGCTAGATGCTTCTGTGAAATGTTGAATTGTGGTGGACTGCATAGAATGTTGTACAGAATGTTGGAGTAATACACCACAATGAATGTTGTCTGTTTCTAGCTAGAAAATCCACAACACACATAAACTGTTCAAATTCCACATATCAGTCCTGTAAAATGTTGTACAAATGTGATATGTAATTTTTACATTTTCAAACGAAGACAGTTCTATTCAATAACTTCTAAATTATCTTTTAAAATATATTGACATTATCTTAATTTACTAATTTTCACCTGTAAATTATGATTATAAGTAATTTCTTGAAAAATAAAAGCTACAAAGGGTGACCTCTAGTGGTTCATTGTAATATGGTATTTGAGCAAACTTGAACCACACAACAAAAGGAACTGAACATCATAGATGAATTCTAGCCCTCATTAAAACTTTTACTTAATGTTATAAAGATTGCTCAACTATGGGTTTTGAATTTTCTTATGAAAATGAGGGACTCTGGGCCAGGTTTCAGGTTCCACAGACTTGTGAACAACTTGGGGCTATGATGCCTGAGAGAGCGCCTTCTCTCTCTGCCTTGTCCCTGAAGGCACTGCAGGACATTCTCTTGGTGGTTCCACCTGCACCTATAGCCTAACTGACATTCACCAGGACAAGAGTCTTCAGCGTGGCAGCTCCTCTTGTCAGGCAGGCTCAATCAAAGACAAAAGAAATGCAACAATGGACATCAATGCAGACATGCCCTTCAACAGTCAGATTTAAAAACCTGGCCTGATTACATCCGTACAGAACATAACTTTGTTTGAATCAATATATATCTTATCAACCAAAATAAAGTACATATCTGCAAAAATGTACCATTGCATGAAGAAATACAATTTTCTAACCTAAATTATTTCATAACAACTTATACAGAAATATGCCTCAGTTGAATCCCTTTTGTAGAAGATGGACTGAGACAGTTTTCATACTTTACAGGAGAAGGAAAACTTAAGACAACTTCAGAGGAAAAAAGAAGAGCAATGACTGAACTATAAGAAAGAAGCAGTGTGCAGGGGCAAGTCTTTCCACTTTTTTTAAATAAAAGACTGAAGAGAGATATAATATGCATACAATTCTTGTTTCCTGTCACTTAGGCCAATAGCAAGCACTAAAAGAGATTCCACTCTGGAAATGAATAGTGCTAGACTAGCTAAAAGTTGTTTTCTACCTTTTAGCTCCACCTGCATCAGGTGAAACAATGACACAGTTTCTCCAGTCCACAATGTTTTCTTTGATCCACTGCAACACAGCTGGTTCTGCATACAGGTTGTCCACTGGAATATCAAAGAAGCCCTGGAGATTGCAAGGAGAAAAATAATCATATATGAAATAATACAAACAGTGTTTTTCACTAAGTCTCTGTAGAGCATTTACAAGCAGAAGGTCAGACAGAAGCACATGAAAAAACAGAACTTCCTACCAGAGCCACTGCTTAATTTCAGTGACATTTAAAAAGCAAAAGCAAGGCAAGTCTTGAAAACATCAGCAATGAACGTGAACAAGTATGTGAAACCTTTGTTTATAATAACGGTTGTGATACAGTGTGTAATTTGCTGTGCCCTTACCATTTTAGAAACAGAAATGAGACACAGGGTACCCTAGCCCTATTTCAATAAGCATTTCATTGGAAAGGTTGAAAAGAGCTTAAAAAGTAGGAAAACCCTCACTGACATTCACTGCTGAAGTACAGTCCAGTCCAGCCCGAGTCTAGAAGGCATCACAAGGTGGTGGGATGCATATGTTTAGTTAGAAGGGAAGTTGCTTACCCAGGATGTGTTGGCTTTCATGAGTTTATTTGAATAAATTGTTCCCTAATATCTATCAGGGGCCTCGTTGCTGCCTCTCATATCCTGCTGCACACTGAAAATAGCCTTCAATATGTTGGCATGATGCTGCCATCTTGGATATCCCTGCATTAGGTGACTCAGACCACGTCAGCTATGAACTCCAAGCTGATGGTCCCCATGGGGGCAAAAACAGATGTCTTATTTGGCCTGGACAACACAAGACGGTTGTCTCTGACTCATGGCCAATGCCCTGAGGCTTCATATGAGCTTAGGAGGTAGCAGAAATCTTTGCTACAAATGCTTCAGTCTGCAATTTAAGAAGAGAGCACTGCTGCAATAGAGCTTACGATGTGTAAAGAAGCCCCAACATGATTCCCCAATGAAATCACTGCAGTTGGCTTCAATTTTACCAGGAAAACAAATGCCACATTCAGATTACCATAATAAACTGCACAGGGCTACCATTTAAGACAGCTTGGAAACTCCAGACAGTGTTGGAGCCAGACTGTTACCAGAGGCCAGCAGGGTCACACTGGATCATACCATGATATACATCAATTCCTCTGGCCGCCAGTTTGTTTCTGAGTTCAATTCAGGTTGCTGGCTTTAGCTTTCAAAGCTTTTAAACAGGCTGGGGCCAAGATTATGAGCTTGCTTGAGAACTTCACTCAGCTTCTGTTGCCCTTGTTATCACCCGCTTGATGATGGACACTTTGCTGGCAGTGATGAAGGACAGGGTCTTGCCTGCTGCGGAACCCAGATTATAGCACCAACTCGTCAAAGAGGTGCATCTGACTCATAATACCTGTTCTGCAGTTAGTATTGTACCATTGATCTTTAAGAACAACCCCCACACACTCCCGAGAACATCTGAATAGTCTGTTTACAATGTCTGTCACCTTATTGTTTTACTGAATATTATATCGTTTTCTTGCAAGGTTTTCATGGATTGGCCTTGGCTTGGAAGGCAGGATATGCATATTAATAAAAATGAAACAATGAAAAATCTTTTCATGGCAGTGAATACATAGAAAGTGAGTTCCTGTACATAAAGTAAAAAGGCTGCATAGTTACCTGTATCTGGGAAGCATGCAAATCCATGGTGATGATGTGATCTGCCCCAGCGACTGACAGCATATTGGCCACAAGTTTTGCAGAAATGGGAGCACGGCTCTAAATGGAACAAAACATGGATTTCATGCACTTTGAAAAGTAGCTGTAATATTGTTCAGTTTCAAACAATATGGAGAGACCAGGTCCTCCATGGTCAGTATAAGAATGTTGCACTGTATTCTCAGCTAACAGGTGCATGACAACCAGCCTTTCCCTTTACTATACACTCAGAGGGGGTCTCAGAAGTCAATTTATTCCCCTTCTCGCCTCACTTTCCTGTTTTTCTTTTTCAAATGTCACTTGGTATTCTATGGCTAAGCATGCTCAGTCCTCACTGGGCTGACTCTGCGGGTGGGAAGAGGGATTGGGTTTTGTTTTAAACCCTTCTTCTTGCTTCTCAGTGGCTCCTTTTATCTCCACTTCTTTTACCACAGAAGGACCGAATTCGCAGCCACCACAGCAGTGCCTACAAGAGTCAGGTGAAGGATAAAGGTCAGGTAGCTGAAGGGGGAAGAGCAGATAAGAGTCTGAAGAGAGGAGTGAGGCTTGGGAAGGAAGTAAAAAGGGAGAAGAAAGCAGGCACACAAAACACCAGAAAGAAGCGAAAAGGTGCTTGTGGAGACTGAAGCACAACCGTGATAGGAACCCACTATTCAGCTAGCAACAACTAAAGGACAAGCGTTGTGGTTCATCATCTATCTGGGGATCATTTACTTATTAATTAACAGCTTTGATATGAAAAATGAGTACTGATCTTAGTCATTACGTTTAGAAGCAAGAGGCCATCTGCCTGCTTTATTTGTAACTAAGAATTGTGTGTACTTCCCAGTCTACCTGGCATTGCTGATACACATTCATTTTGGTATAGTTTGTGTAGGCATCCTATAAATCTCACAGTGGCTTGATTCTCACAGCTCATATTCAAGGAAGTGAGTGAAACATAACAGTGAAGCAGACCCCTGTTAAGTTTTAATTTCCTGGGCTATAGTTCAGTTTTAAAAAGTGAAGAATTTCATTTTGACAGTAACCATGACAGTCAAAGATGAGCAGAAATAGTTCCATCAGCAGCTATGAAGCTGCAGAAAGGTCACATTTAAGAGTATGTATGGCAAAATAGTTCTTTGAGCTAATCCACTACGCAGCCCCAATAAAGGGAAGGCTACAATATTATTACAGCAGATACATGTAAATTTCTTTTTTGACTTTCATTAGGAATGAGGTGAGATTAGTCGTTAACACTTTCTGCCAGCCAATCTCTCTCCATTCAGGGCCACTTAGTATATGGGCCTGTTTTAGCATTTAAAGTTACATTTCCAGAAAGTTACCAAACACTAGTGTAAGATATACTTGGGAGATTAAATTGTTGAAACCCGGAACTTTAAGCACTTAATACAAACATAGCACACATTTTCCATATTACAATTTGCTTTAGATAAGGAGCCTTCAGGAGAAGTTTAGAAAATTTACTGCATAAGGCAGACCAATGCAACAGTGAGAACTCTTCTGATCCAGTAAGCCAGTTAATGAAACAATAAAAATTATCCTTTGTTTAGATTTTGTAACAAACTCTGGAAAGCAGTGAACTGTCCAACTTAAAAACCTCTAAAATCAATCACACTTTGAACCCTTAAGAATTCACATCCATTATTTAGAATATGTAAGTATTTAACTAGACATTTTTTCTCTACTAGCATTAATTACTAGCCATTAATTACAATTCTGTTATATAGCATGAGCAACACATCTTTTTAGGATAACATTTAAAATGTAGGGGAAAAAATTCCTCCTTTCCAAGCATACCACCAAAACTCACACAATCTTTGGGCTTGTCCAGGTGAATTTGACTACCACATTTTTTAACTTGTACTTTTGCATATGCTATGTATACAATATGATCTTGATCTTCAGGCTTAACCAATGAGGTACTAAGCTTTATCCCTCAAAACTAGTGATTATTTTTATTTCTTTAATAATGCTGTCTGCATATGTGATGAATATACTACATACACAAGCAAAATATATTGACAGCTTATTAAATTTAAAGCTCTCCTAATTTGGCAGAGTTACATATATTCAATGGATACTCTTACCTAAGTTTCTGTTTATATTGGAAAAGATCTGATACCAATTTAAATATGAACTTTGTCATGTTGGCAAAGAATAACAGTGTATCTGAAATGGCAAAAACTCCAGGCTCTTTTAAAAGGCCTGTGGACAAAAGAAGTATTCGTTGTCCAAATAAAGTTAATATTACACAGTGGAACTGAAGCTGAGATCAAAATGGGTCAGCTCAGATGCTAATATTCCATAGTACATTTTAGATCAAGAGAGCTACAAGACACCACTTACCCATCTACCTTGGTCCTATATAGAAAAACACAACAAAAACAAATTAATGAAATGTGCAATTCCTTTTCTGATCTGCAAGAATAGGATAATTGATAAAAAACCAATTAAGCCAAATCTCCACTGACTTAATGTACAATGAAAAAATAGTAATGGAAACAACACATGTTTAAGGATTAAATAATAAAAATTGAAATTTATTGACTTATTAGAAGCATAAGCATATAGCATAAGTTTTCAAGAACTCAAGAGTAGAGTGCATTCAGAATATTCTAACTAATTCCAATATTTTCAGTAAAGAAACTATGTAAGTCAGAAATGGGATTTTAAGAACATCTTAATTTGAAAAAAATACTTCTAAGAATAAAAGGCATATTGTCAATATATTGCCTTAGTAGCATAAAAACATTTTAAGTGGAAATAATTTTTAAATTTGGTCCTTTATTATTTATTTATTTTATTTATTTATTAAAACATTTTTATGCCGCCCCATTCGCCGAAGCCTCGGGGCGGCTTACAACAATAAATTAAAATAAAATATTCTAATAAATATATTAGAATCTGAATAAAATAAAACAATCCTAAAAATAACAGTGAAGGCTCCTTGCATAACTTAGGAGAAAAAAAAATATCTACATGGTTTTATATTAAGGCATTGGATTTCAGACAAGTTCAGTAAATTTTGTAATAGTAATACTACTGGGAATGTAATTTGTCATGATATTATTGTCTGTGTAATTGAAGGACTTGTACTTTGCCAGATATTTATTTAAAAACATAGGCTATTATGATATATTACTACCGACTTGGTTGCCTAAGCACTACTTTTCTGAGACTGCTAGGACTTAACTAGTTTAACACAAAAAATGTGGTAGCCAAACACTGCACAGCAAGCATGCTCATAATTAAATAATGCATTACTAAAGTATGGCAATCAGCACAATTAACAGAATTGAATGACATAATTAAATTGAGACAGGAGACACAGCACAGTGAAATCTGGTAGAAGTTGGCATCCTTTTACTGTTTTTTTCCCCAGAAGCAAAAATGTACTTTGACATGGATCTGTGCGATTGTTTTTCAATATTCTTACACGGGAAAACTGAAACACAATATCTTGTAAAGATAAATATGCTTATTCTGTTCTATGTTATATCTGCATAAAAAGAATCATGCACATATACACTTAACATTGGGATTTTTCTGCTGCACTTGTGTTATTTATTACCTGCTCAGCTTGTCTTAATTAATCACCTTGTCTTGCCTGAAGGAGCAATCTATGCTTATGTTCCTTGGCCGGCAGTTACTGCCGTGGTGCTTAGCCAGGACTACAGCCTGCATGCTTCCCTCTAATGGCAGAGATGCATGCAGTATGCCATCCATGGTGAAATGAGTTGGACAACTCTATGGACAACTGGAGAAGCAGGGATCAATTTAACACTCCAATATTATTCAAGTGACTGAGATGCAGTTCCTTTGCTACCGATGCAGCACAGCAGTCCCCAAACTTTTTCAGCCATGGAACCTTTCTGAAGACATTTTTCCCCCGGGAACCCTAACTCTAGCCTTGATTTTTACTAGGCATTGTGAACCTGCAATGTTCTTCCTTCTTTCATCTGCTCCTATTGCCTGAGTGCTTTACATAACATAGTAGGTTTGGAAATAAAGAGGAACTATTTCAAATATAATGAATGGATGAAGCAATTATGTGGCAATAGTCCAAATGAATTCTTTTGATTAATCCCAGCACTATGCAATAGAGACCTAGAGACCAAATGATGTGATGCCGTTCCTTGTTTGCTGCTTGGACTCCAACTGACAATCAAATGGTTGGCCTCACATGGTTTCATTTTAAAATCCATTTTAAATTTGATTTTTGAGATTTTTCATGGAACCTCTATGAGGCTTTTGCAGAACTTTAGGGTTCCACGGAACACAGTTTGGGAACTGCTGATGTAGCACAGCTGTGAATAAGACAACAGCCCAGACAAGAACCAAGTCCTGATTAAGATCACACAAACTGGTTTCCAGATGGCATCATTTGACAGCAGTTTTGTTACACTGGTTGCACTAGCAACACATAGACTGAGCCTATAAGTTGAAGGATGCAGTGCCAGGGAGCACTGGTGAACACAAGATGGCTTTGGGCAGCTTTGGTTTAGACAGACTGGATCCTCAGCAACTTCAAATGGTTTCTTGGTGTCTTTTAAAAACAGTTTTCATTGCTCACATACTTTAAATTTAGAATGTCTACACAGCCAATCAAAACAATTAAGTCAATGTTATTCCATAGTTCTATTTAGATAGAATATAATCTATTCACATAAAGTGTTCTTTTAAAAAAATGTAGCTACAATATAACAGCAAGAGTAGATCTATAAACCCAGCAATTTTTGTTTGGCAATAACTCTTTTGAGTTAAGATCGACCTTCTTGGTATGCAGAAGTAAGTTTCTGTACTTAATTTAACAACAACAGAACTCTTCCATTCTATTATCTAAAGGCTCAGGTTGGGTGGGAAGGCAGTATTAGGGATGTAGCTATATTCATATAGGCACCAATTAGCACTTGCAAGCAAGTGTTAATTATTTCTACTTTCAACTGAGAATTTTTAGGAGTGCCACTTCAACAGTTTGTTCACAACAGTTAAAACTCATTGCATAATCTGGCAAATGCAGAAGCATTTGTTTTTACATAATCTTCAGAAAGTGACCAACCCTAACCTACCTTATCTTTCTTATCCTGCCTAGCATAAGGAAAACATGGGATCACAGCAGTGACACGGGAGGAGGATGCGATCTTGCAAGCGTTGATCATGATGAGAAGTTCCATCAAGTTGTCATTTATTTCTCCACAACCACTCTGGATGATATACACATCTTCCCCTCTGACGCTTTCACCAATCTCTACACTGAAGGACAGAGACATAACAATGTATGATTAGGTGTACTAAATTGGTAGAGCAGACAGTAAAGACTTATATGCTGCCATAATAACTATGAAGCACTTTGAATTTTCACTTCGCTCTCTTCAGAGCTGTATCAAATACTCCAAAAGCAAAGAAAATACCTTCCTATGCAAGGCGGTATGCTAAAAATCACTGTCAACTGGTAGGAACATAAGGAGAGGCTCCAGAAGTATTATAGCCTAATCAAAGAAATAGATCTTCCTGTGTTGATGGGATAAATGCCCATTTTCAGGAAACACAATTATTTTATATCAGTGTTCTAATCGGTATACCATAATCTTACCTAATTCCACATAAAAAGAACATAGTTCAACAATAGAGTATCCAATGAATCAAAAGTGAATTGACCCATGACAAATACTTGATATTGATCATTAAGGATACAATCCTGCAGGAAGCCTTTGATCTTGGATGTTTTGGAGTATCCAGTCACTGCTGAGTTGCAGGAGTGAAGGCAGCCATTCAGACAAAAATATGGGTGGATTCTATTGGAGGTTTGGAGGTTTTCTTTATAGTCCTTCATAATTACATTTGCTCCAATCCTGGCCTGCTGATTTTCTGACATCATAGTTAGTGAACCAAGCAAACCTATGACTGCCTAGCTTCTGACTAGTCACCCTAGAATTGTTCTGTTAGTTCCTTCACCATGCTCTGAGGAAAGGCTTTGGCAGAACTTGTTGCAAATGTTCCTGGTTTGCAGATAACAATAAAACCATGCCACACTTTATAAAAATCAGATATTTTGGTTTTGCCTTTAGTCTGTCCACAAAGAAAATAAACACTTAGAGTACATAAAGCACACAGAAAAAGATAATAGCTTAATCAGTGTTCATTGTAATGATGCACCCTAGAAGGTTTGGTAATAATCCTGACTTACAAGCATAGGGACCTCCACTTTGCTATATATAAAAATATTTCAAGAAACACAAGGCCTAAATGATTCCTATGTAGTACAGGTTATTCATATTTAAAATATGTCTTAAACGTGAACTGTAAAGTGTGAGGTTTTCAGGAAAACTTAGTACAAAGCCCAAAGAATACAGCATTAGCCACTTTAGGCACCTTTCACAAATTATGTTATTGTGAAACAAATATGGGTTTGTCATGATTAAAAAAAAAAACACTCAACAGTGAACTGCAGCAGATTGTCAATGTACCAGTAAGATAAACTCATTTATCACATTCACAGTTCTTGTTTTGTTTGGTTGTTTTTTCCTGGGGTTTTTTTTCTGGTAGACACACAAAAATGTTGCAAATTGCCCTGACTTAAAAGTAAACTGGCAGAATGAATAAGCCACAATTCAACCAAGTTAAGGGCACAAATTATGCTGATTTCAAGATGATGTTTTAAATACATACTTTCCTCTTAAATGGAACTTGGGCTTGAACATGCCAAGAGTTTGAATAAGTTCAACAGTTACTGAAATTCACTTTATTCCAGATGTATCAAGGACAAAATTACTAATTAACTATTAGGGTTGCCCCATTTCCCAAGTTCAAACTCTTCTGCAGTGACGCTACAGATAAAAGGGCAATCAAACCAGAACCTCTTGCAGTAGAACATCTCTGTTTGTTTTATGCAATTTATCAAATTCAGAGGCTTGGAACTTTCAGTTCAAGTTCTCAGTTAAAATGAGCTGAAATCAGCAGATAACACAAGAAATGACGTTAAACACAACAAGAACATACAGTGCAGCTTTAAAAGTCCCAGTTTTGCTTTTATGTTTACACCATTTTATGATGCTTTTAAAAACGCCATACCTTGATTATTAAAAATAAAGATTCCCCCCCCCACACACACACACAATAAAGGAAGCCATATTACAACCCTAATGGGGTCAAACCTAGCTGCCACTCTTTCAGCTAGACTATTTGTCTGCCAATGCTTTTTTATTATAACCCATTGACTGCAAGTATGGTTCATGTGAGAGAAAGGAGAAAATGCTTTTCAGTTGTATTGACATTCTAGTTAATAGATCCATTTTAATTTGATTTACATGTACAGAAAATCCAACAACTAATGCAAACACCTCTCTCTCTGTAACGCAGATTGAACACTATATGCTGTGATGTAAAATTAGTAGAATTCATATTTTCTGAAAGGGCAGAAGTTCTTAAACATTATAATACAATTTAGGCACAACTTGCACTCATCAACCTCTTTTAACCTCACAGAGATTCCTTCCTTCCTTCCTTCCTTCCTTCCTTCCTTCCTTCCTTCCTTCAATTTTTGGCCCACCCATTAGCCACAAGGCTCCCTCCCATCTTTGACAAATGGGATAGAGCATCATTCTCTACAAACAAAGCTGCCAGTTCTTTCCCATAACATTAGAACCTGGGGGTTACACAGTGGTTAAGTTCAGCAGAGACAAGGGGACGGTGACTTCTGTTCAGTTGTTGCTCAAAGCAATTTTCTGGCTTTGGAATTCTTAAATTATATGCCTATTGCTTCAGGCTCTGGATGATAGAGTGCACAAAGCAAACAACAACGGAAAAACAAAAAGTAATCAAACAAACAAAATAAAGTAGAGTCCAGCAAAAGACATCTGACCCCTCCTGTTCTAGCTTGCTCCAGATGCTAGGCGATAACTGCTGCTGCTTTTTGATGGTGTTAGGCTGCAGATAAGCAATTGCTCTGCTCCAAACAAAAGGAACTGAACACAGGCACTTCCTAGGCTGGAAAGGTCCATCACAAACAGAGCCAAAGTCTCTCTGTAAAAGCACCAATATATTAGTGCAAAGGGAAATGGAAAAGGAAGGGTAGAGTCTTTCCTTCTTTTTATTTGGGACCATCAGTTCTCATATTTACCATAGTAAATTAATGTTATAATTCAGGGATGAAGACAATGCAAAATGAAATGGCTCCTTAAACTTAGTAAAGTAGCAAAACCAACAAGACACTGTTTTGCACTCTCTGTTAGACTGATCAGATTACACAGAGAGATACTTGCTGGTGTTGGCCTTTGTGTCCATCCTGCTCTTTAAGACTGTGAACATAACACACCAGACAGCTTGCTGAGCTATATGGTGTAAAAGAAAACTCCACCATCATCACTGTTTGTTTTTCTTTCTTAAGTATAAAAAATGTCTGATGCCTCTGAAACACATATAGCTTTCAGGAATCCAATGCATTCAACATGTATATCTGTGTATCTAAAATGAATCTTGCATCTTTTCCGCGGAAGAGAGTTCTACACAGAAAACAGCTTTTCACATATCCCAACCATTATCTGCCTATGTTGGAACGCATAATCACACCATGAGATTTTAGGGTAAGGACAGTATATGGGAGGAGAGAGCCTTGATGTACCCAACACCCAGGCCATTTAGGACCTTAGAGGCAATAATAACCAGGCACAATCTGCATGTTATCAGTGCAACCACCGTAGATGTTAAAACAACGTAGGGGCAAGGTGAAGCATCATATAATATCATAGGACAGTCTCTCCCAACCTGGCATCCTGCAGATGTTTTGGATTACAGTGTCCATCAGCCCCAGACAATGTGGCCATGGGAAAGAAGTTTTCTGATATTTTTAGTCCAAGATAAAGGGAAAGCTGCCATAGGCCAAAGTGTGCAACAGAAAGTTCCCCATTATCACTTGAAACTGACCTTGAAAAAGGACCAAAGTCATAATAAAACTGTGTTCCAAAATCCATCCCAGCCAGGCAGTCGGCAGACAGCAGGCTCAGAAGCTGCTCAGAGGCCCAGAAGAAACAACAGAGATGTACTACTCTGTCCAACTCCTGATGTAGATTGTCAACCAAGGTGACAAAAGCAGGCCAGAAGCCAGCTCAAAATGCGTCTAAATAATCAAATTTCATCTTAGGCCCTCTAAACACTCCACTGTAGTAATATCTAAAATCCATATTACATACAGAAGACATAACTTATAAAGTCATATTTTGAGGAACAAAACTTAACTCGAAGAACTACTTAACATTTGTGTTAGATACATAGCAATACTGCTACATACATCTTGAAAGCAGGTGGTGGCAGTTTGTTACTGATTAAATGCTGATATATGCTTAGATTGTATCTTTCGAGAAAATTCCCAGGGCAGCTACCAGTTCAAATACACAGATTTAAATACAAAATGTATAAAATGTAAAATACAATGACCATAAATCCATAAAAACATGAGAACTGCCTAAAACCCCGCATCACAGACCAAACTGATTAAAGTTGAGCAATGGGATATAACAGTGCGATTCTGTGTATGTCTGCTCCGCTGCAAGTTTAACTGCCCTTAATAGCACCTACTCCCATGTAAGTGTGTCTAGCACTGCATTCTTAAAGGGGCTAAGAGATTATGGAGGACTTTGGCATCAAAAAGAGCATTAAGGAGAATCTCAGGTGAGCCTTTCTGGGGCCACTCTAGCAGTTATTGCATGCATTTTGAAAATATTGCCAGACTCCCAGCTGCTGCCCCAGGAACTCTTTCATCTCTGCCTCCCAATATCTTTAACAGCCTGCCAATGCCAGAACCTGTCTGGAAGCACAACTGACTGCTCTTCTATTACTAATGATAAGGGCAAAATTTTGCTGCAGAAAACATCCATTTCATAAGTTCATTAGTAACAATGAGCGCGTGCCAATTGCCAACTCACTATTAAGCAAGCTGGGCAGTTTTAAAGTTGTAGTTTATCCTTCTCAGGTGATTGTTCCTAGTAAATATGAGAAACAGTTGAGTCATTGGAATAGATGTATGAAACTGAACTAGTAAGGAGTGAGAGCAGAATTGGGGTGCAGATTAGGGGAGCTCTGGATAAGAGTGATCACTCCATCCTTTGTTTTGAGATCAGAGGAATGGGGATGAGTGGCAGATAGAGTATTAGAAGCTGGGACTTCATGAGGACCAACTTTGGTCAGTTGAAGGTCCGACTGGGGAAAGTCTCCTGGGAGTGGGTACGGGAAGGCAAGGCAGTCGAGGCGGGGTGGAT